ACAGACCCTTAGCCCCTAAAACGCTAAGCCCTAAGCCCTAAACCCCAAACCCTACACCCTGAACCCTAAACCCCTAAACCCCAAACCCTAAACCCTAAACCCCTAAACCCTACACCCTAACCCCTAACCCCTAAACCCTAAATCCTAAATCCTAAACCCTAAACCCCTAAACCCCTGAGCAAGCTCTGCGTCGATACCAAGGCCAAGGCGGCTCGAAAAGCTCCCTCAGCTTCTCTGCCGTCATCGCTTCACTGAGGTTCCTGCCGAGGACTGTCAGGGGCTTAGGGGTTCAGGGGTTTGAGTAATTTAGGGTTTTAGGGTTGACGAGTTTAGGGTTTAGGGATTTAGGGTTTAGGGTCTAGGGTTTAGAGTTGTAGGGTTTGGAGCCTAGGGTTCATTCTTAGGGTTTAGGGTTTAGCGTCTAGGGTTCAGGGTTGAAGGGGAGACGGGTTTGATGTTTATTGGGTCTAGGGTTTAGGGTTTTAGGGTTTAGGGTTGAAGGTTTAGGCTTAGGTTTTAGGGTTTGGGGCTTAGGGTTGAGGGTTCAGGGCTTGGGGGTTTAGGGCTCAGGGCTTTGGGGTTTAGGGCTTAAGGTTTAAGGGTTTATTAGGGCTTAGGGTTGAGGGTTTAGGGCTTTAGGGGTCATGTTTGGGGATTCATTTAGGTTGTAGGGGCCCAGGGTTTGCAGTGTCGGCTCTGCGGGGTGGGGGTTGCGGTTTGCATTCAGGTAAGCCTGAAGATGAAGAAGTGTCCGGTCTGGTGTAGGATGTGGGTAGTTTTCTAAATTCGGGTCCCTCTTAGGGTCCTTATTATAAGGGTGCCGTACTATATTGGGGACCAGAAAGGGATCATATTTTGGAGAACTACCCATGTACGGCTTAGGGTTTAGAACCTATGCAGCGCTGCACAACATTGGCCGCCGTCTTCGCTGCTTCACTCGGGCAGCTGAAAGACGGAATCGGGCCCTACGGCAATGTGAATAGGGGTCACGTTTCGCGCTCCAGAAAGCTCGGTCACCACCTCGACGGAGTCGTCAACGTGGATCACCGGGACTTCACCGTTGTTGGAGAGCAGGTTGAGGGCCGTGAGCTTCCCGACGGGGCCTGTGATTTTATCAGTGAGCACGACGAAATCAATAGGAGTGTACCCGGTTTGCGCGAGCACCTCGTCCCACGCGGTGGCAATCGAATTGCGCACGTGCAATCGGGTGCTTCTGCGTGACAATGTGAGCACGCTATGGACAGGATTTGGCCTTAGCGAATCCCCACGTGCAGCCGGCTCCGCAACTGTTGATTCCTCCAGGGTTTAGGGGTTTAGGGTTTAGGGGTCTACTGTTCATGATATAAATCCAGCATTACCTGAAGGACCATGGGAATTATCAGCCGTTTGGGGTTGAAGATTTGGGGTTAGGGTGTAGAATTATCCCTAAACCCTGAACCGTCTGCTGTTGCTTTGCGCGTGGTGTCCGGTTTGAGACATGGCTTTCCAAAGCCGACAGCAGAGGTGCCAGATGTGAACCCTCAAGAAGTTCAGGTAAACCCAAAACCCCCAAAGCCTAAACCCGACACCGTAAACCCTACAAAATGCGAGTCCGATGATGGTAATGTAGGGGCCTTGATAATTCGAATACGATTTTGGGGGGATTTTATACTAGAATTATAAGAAGGAGCCTTGGTAACTATTTAGTCCCCTATAGTAGCGACTGAATTTTTCTAAACCCTAAACCCTAAAACCCTAAACCCTAAAACCCTAAACCCTAAACCCTAAACCCTAAACCCTATAAACCCTAGAGGCGGCACTAAATTTGAAGCTTCGGACCTCCGAGCCTCACCTCCTTTGCAAGGGCTCAGAATCCTACAGCACCCTACCTGCAGCCTGCAGGTTTAGGGGTTTAGGGTTTAGGGGTTTAGGGTTTAGGGGTTTAGGGTTTAGGGGTTTAGGGGTTTAGGGATTTAGGGGTTTAGGGGCTTAGGGTTTAGGGTTGCCTCCTCAAAACCGGTAGCTGTGACCTGCGAAATAAGTATGTAGAACCCTCAAAACATAAATGTGTGGGTTGTTGGCACCCTAAATAGGTATGGGAAGCCCTTACAGCAACAGGTAATACAGGAAGACCCTGCGAACTATTTACCTGGATCCTGCAATACCTATGTCTTGTAGTTTGTCGCCCATCTAACACAGAACAGGTAGGTTCTGTAGGGCCCAGGTACACCGTAAAGCCCTGAAGCTCTAGCCCAACCCCTAATCAAAGCCCTAATATCTACACCTTGAACCCTTAGGGACTGTGTACCTGCGATGACAAGCTTGCACCAAGGGTTTGGGGTTTAGGGTTTAGGGTATCAGTTCAGAATAAACTGCCGCAGGCATTCCATGAAAGCAGACGGGTTCAGCTTTGTTGTTTACTCGATCAATCAGCGAATTATCAATCTCACCAGCATCCTCGGTTTCCCCACCCACGGCAATGATGTTGTTTCCAAACGCATCTTCACTGGCTGCAATGCAACGAACGTCCCAACGACTTCTCTCCATCTCCCCGTCTCTGTGGTTCCATCGCCAAGAATGCCCTTCGCTGCTGCAATCTGCACTGCACAAACTTGAAGCATGTATGTGAACTCCTAGCCCAAAAAAAGTTAACCTGTTGAACTATAGTAATTAACTAGGGTTATATAAGCCCCAAAAGGTAAAAGGTCACCTACTCAGCCGCTAAGAACCTGCAACCGCCAGAAACCCTGAAACCAGTCGGCCTGATGCAGATCCTCACGCCGGACTTGCCCCGACCTTCGCCCTTCGCGTCTTTCCGCTTCTTTCTCTCCTGACCGGGTACCAGTCTCTGCCTCACAGTAGTAGCAGCCGTAATGTAGGGGCCTTAATA